AAGGTACATGGACACATTATTTGTTTGCTATGTGTTTGTTTGTATGTTAAGCATGTAAGCAGGGCCTCATGCATGCTAAGCAAGTGTTTTGTCACTGAATAATATCTCTAGAGGACCATGTTCTTAACGCTTAAAAGCTATAATATGATTTCACTATAGAACTAGGTTCAACACATATTTTGTATGAACATACCATTTTGGACAAAGAAATAATTAAGATATAAAACAGTCCCAGAAATGAATGAATAAACCAAGTAGTACCTAGAACCCAAAGAAATTTGGCAGCTACTACATATTATCTCTGACTAAACTCAAGGATTCCAGTAAGTTCATGAGGATTACTAGGTTGGGCTCATTAGCCAATCTTGGATTTCAGCTCTCTCCTTGCCTTGCTGTATGTCCTTGGGAAAGTTGCCAAGTAGCTCATGACTTTACAATGTTCCACTATAATATTCCCATACGCTATGGAAAAGGAAGCCTAAAGGTAACCAAGCACTAAGATCCCTCTTAGGGGAAATTTAATTCAAATTCAGGCTAATGACATGCAAAAGAGCAGTCATTCCTAATCTAGCCTATTTGGGAGATAGAGAGCAGAGGACTGTAGTTCAACGTCATCTGGGCACTAAAGTAAAACAAACTGTCTCAACTGATGCATGGGCATGATGGCACACACCTGACTTCAATCTATGGGGGAAGCACGGTGGCTGAGTGCAGCAGTGGTATGTGTCTGTCATCCCAGCAAAAAAGAAAACAAAAATAAGAGGATCACATTCTAGGTTGGCTCAGCGTAAAGTGAAACTCTAGCTTGAAAATAACCAATACAAAAAAAAAAAAAGGCTAGTGGAGTATCCCAAGTGGTAGAACACCTGCATGGCAAGCACAAGGTTCCAAGTTCAAAGCACTGTACTGTCAAAACAAAACATAAAAAGAGCATTCATCTACCTGGGCACAAAGACAAGGCATAGTTTAGTTTTAATTAACAAAAATATCAAGCTCCAATTGTAGTTTACCTAAATACAAAGCCATATTTTTTACATGAGCAGCACTGTACTTCAACTTAGTCAGTTCGGTCTTCCACTTTAAAATGCTCCTAATTCAATTCCTGTTTTTTTTAAAAAAAAAAAAGTGTGATGGGAACACATATTATTTAAGAGGGATGCCTCATACACACAGCTGCCTGAGCTGACCAAATATCCATAATCCTCATGTCAGTTACCAACAGAAATACTATCTCTTATTGACAACCTACCTGATGTTTCTGAATTCATTTTAGTTAACAAGTTCACCCGATAAAGTATATATATATATATATATATATATATATATATATATATATATATATATATATATGTTTTCCTGCAACTTTAACTAGGACCCTATATAACTAGTGGATGGTACATTCGATAAATTCTGTTGAAAACTGGATAATTCCTGCTCGGTTAGAGAAAGTTGTTTTTCTTGATGAATGAGATTCAATCAATACACTAATGAAGTAAGAACTAGGGAAACTCCATGCATTTTTTGTACAACATAGACTATTAAGTTTGTAGTGATGTCTGATGGTCAATAATGATCAATTACTTTAGTATTGGATGACGTTTTATATTTCTCAAAAAAACAACATTCTCCTTTCCCTTCCTTCTGTGTTTGTTTTGCAGCCACCTAGCTCAAGCAGACAGGTAGAGGATATCTGAAAATAAAGCTCACATGAAGGAAGTCAAGATAAAAGTGGAATGAGAGAAAATGAGACATGCTAATAATGTTTGAGTCTTACATCAAGCTATGTCTGAGGCAATATCCGGAAGGGGTTTTTTTTTGTTAAGCCTATAAATTTTGTTTTGGCCTTTGCCATTTTGAACTAGATTTTCATTCACTTAGAAGTTCTAACAAAGTAAAAGTCTTGAGACTATATAACAAGTACTGCCATTAGTATAATTTATTTTCTTTTAAAAATGAATGAGCTGAAGAAAGTTAAACTTTTAGACATCATATTCATGTCATGTCAAATTTATAACAAAAATAATTTTGAAAATACACTCTTCTAAAGGAATTAGCCTAAAGGAAGAATATTTTAAAAGGAAGCTTTTGAATGCCACTCTTATTAGCAGTTCTCTTAGTAAAAGCAAGGAGCTTAGTAAAGGATCTTTAGTCACAAAAATCAAGAAAAGAAATTAACTTTTTTAACTACCTAAAGGAAATTAAGTTTTCTGAGAAACACACAGCATGTTCTACATGCAACCTTGAAACATACCTGCCAGATCAAATCGGGATCAAATTTAAAACTTGGAGAGTCCTGCAAGAAGATAAATTATAAATAGCTTTATTCACTTGCTTCCTTTCTTTTTCATTCAGGTAATTTCAGCCCCATGACTCACCTAGCTGGTAGGAGATTTGATGTGTGCCTGATATAGGCAGTAATGGTAACCTTATGTTTACCCCACACAGACATATTCTAAACTCCAGAAACATACAAACACATAAGAGTTCTAACTGAGCTACTAGCCTGTAGTTCTAAATATGCTTGAATTTAGGTGTCATTTCATAGCCTTTCATAGCAAACACTTTCCTCAAATTGATGCAAAGAATGGACATGAAGCTGATGGAGGTTCAGAAGTTCACCCTCAGTTTCTCTAAGAAACAAGCAACAAGTAGAGAGATTGGATGAGAATGCAGCCTCTGTCACAAGTGTACTATGGCCAAGAAGATGACCCTCCACCAGCTTCCTCTATAAGTCAAATTAGGTGTGTTGGAGTACAGATCCTAATAGGACTCGGAATGCCCCATGAACAAAATATAAGCAGTGCTTTAGCAAATTAGTAGGTATCTATAAAAACAACACATAAACTCAGGTTCAAATTCCTAATAAAAGTACTGCTCTCCCCTTGTCGCCCCTCAAACCTTTCTATGCCTACAAATCAGCATCTTCACAGCTCAATTTACTAAGAACGTATATATGTGAGTTTGTCATAGTAGTTGTGTATTTATGCCTATTTGAGTGTTTACATTTATTATTTAAGTTAAAGACATGATGCTGGAAACAGGAAAGTAGAATCAAACACACTTTCTACTGCAAAATGTCACAAAAAAGTAGGTAGGTAGTTGTTTTTTGTTTTGTTTTGTTTTTTTGTCAGTCATGGGGCTTGAACTCTGGGCCTGGGCACTGTCCCTCAGCTCTTCAGCTCAAGGCAAGCACTCTACCACTTAAGCCACAGTGCCACTTCCGGTTTTCTGGTGGTTAATTGGAGATAAGAGTCTCACAAACTTTCCTGCCCTGGCTGACATTGAACTTCAATCCTCAGATCTCAGCCTCCTGAGTAGCTAGGATCATATGCATGAGCCACCGGCACCTGGGAGTTGTTTTATAATATACATTTAACAAGAAAATACATATCACATAGGAGAGATGCTTCTGAATTCTCCAAAGACTTCTAGAATATATTTTCCTTTATTTTCAAGAAAGTTATGACTTCGAAATGCATTTTGTATACTTATCCCTTATTACTTCTTGTGTTAGGACTTGGGAAGGTCAGTATGTGGATGAGAGGAAGTAGAACTGAACTATCCTTTGATAAAAAAATTATCCTCCTGTTTTTTTCTTCTTCCTTTACTTTCTTTTTCTTATTTTAAGACTAAGTTTCTGGTTTAGTTACAGTATGAACTGAGGACAAAAATCTCAGTTATAAACCACTGTTCCCCAAGGATAGAGCAGGGTGGGTTTTTTTAATCAAAGTAATGTAAAATTATATAAACTCCAAATAATTAGCAAGCCAGAATTAACAAATTACTTAATACTATTAGCATTTGGTCTCTTCAAATGATATTTCTCTAACCAATTTACTACAAATATATTGTGAGTGTCTCGACACTTAAAATCTCAGTTGGAAAATAAACTTTAAAGTCTATGTTCTAAGTTTTCTCCTCCTACCCCCTAAAAAAGTCCACTTCGATGAAGATAATGTTATTGACTGGGGAAAAAAAATCCCTACTCAGAAATGCACATGGCAAGAATTCAATAGTTCTTATTAGTTGTTCTTTTTCTAGAATATGGGGATTTTGGCAGACAACTCAGAATCATGTGTAGCAAGAAAGACAGAAAAATCATTATCTCATAGTGAGCCTGGGAATTCTCTCCTCGGCTGAGAGTATCCAGGTATCTGTGAGTGCTGATTGTAAGTGTACAATTTTCAGACTGCAACCATCTCCATTAGGAAAATGTTTCTTAATAGAACAATTTAAATAAAAATTATTTATTTTTAAACTAAATATTTTACCATGATTCCATCTACCAAAAATAATAAAATTCTGAACATAAAAAGACTTCAGATTTCTAAATATTAGCAAAGCAAATACGTTTCATTTAGATTTACTACAAATCATACATGAGAGATTGGCCATTACCACTGGTTTTTATTTTTGTTTATTTGCCCTAAGTCTATTGAGAAAGATGTTTTTATCCTCAGCTGTAGGTTTTCTCTATGCCTATGTTATTTCAATACTTTGTATTTAATAAATTATTATTACCTCTACTTGCTCAGGAGAAAATACTGGAGTTAAAAAAAGCATTATTCTTTGAAAAGTAAATTGATGACAGCCATTATTTAGTGAATCTTATGTATCTAAAATAACTTCCCTTTGACAAATCCTAGTTTCTCAGAGGTGTCTTTTCATTTCAAAGTGAAATTCTACTTTCCAAAGAAAACAGTACATACAAAGCATCTATCTTAGGGTTAAAGGAATTGGACATACTATGGAAATGGTCCTAGCTTCTTTCAAACAAGTGATACTGGAACCCTTTAGTGTTTTGCCTAGAAAAAGCATCGTAATTAAAAGGCCAATAAGTTAAATGTACCCAGGAAAGCAAAGAGATGCAGAAGCAAAAAATACCCACCAAGGTGCTTACAGAGAGGCACAAGGTTGATTTCACCTGTTCGTTAGGCACCCTCAAGTTAAGAGTAAAGTAGCAGACACAGCTGTTTTTGACAAATGTTCTCAACCCCTACCTTCATTTCAATGACAGTCTGGAGAGCTTTCGTCTTGGCTGGCTCGGGCTGGAGTTGGCTTCTTCGGTGTAATTCCTGGGGAGGAACACGATAGAAATAAGCCTGACGGTTCATCCTTCTATTTACACCATGACCTTTACAAGCTACTTCCCAGCCCAGGTCCTCTGTGCACAGACGTAAACAAGCCACAGGTGCCTCTTCCCCCACACTCTTTAGAATCCCTCCTGCCTGCAGCCTGCGTTCCAGTGAAACACTCCTGGCACATGCGCTATTTCTGAAACTCCCATCAATAATTAATGTCAACTGTGACAAAGCCAGCAAGTAATCATAGTCCAAATACTGCTCAACACTGGGGCGGATGCCCAGCCATCAAATCATAATTTACAAAATTACATTACTCTGTGCTACCAACACAAACACAGCAAGGAAACAGAGGAAAGAAAATGACTAATGTGGTTGCAAATCCGCTGCATGCATGGCATTTTGCTACACAGCTAGGTTTCAAATGAGCAATTTAAAACCATTTCAGTATAAATGTGACATATTTTGGAGTGATCTGATGAAACCCCGTGTATCTCTTGCTTCTGAATTTACATTTTGGGTCCTTGTCCAAATCACATCTGTAGGTGATATGTTCATTCATCATGATGCCAAGAAATTAAAATTGGCATTAGTATCAATAATACAAGAGGAGAGACAAAAATGGTCAAAGCCACATGTAGACCCAAGAATTCCCCTATAATAACGAATATTTCTTCTCTCTTTCCCTAACTATCTCTCTCTCCTCTTTCTCCTGTCTCTCCTCTCTATTGGTCTGGTTTGGAGGACTTTGAGGTCTGTACTGGAGTCCAAACGTAAGATTTTTTTTTATTGTGAAAATACTGTATAGAGGAGTTACAATTACATGGGCAAGATAATGAGTACATTTCTTATCAAGCATTGTAGCCTCCTGCTTTGTTTCCCCTTCCCATCCCATCCTGCTGCTGCCCCTCCATCTAACCCTCCTCCACCCCCTACCATTTTTCCACATAACAATTTGTACATCTCATTGTTGCAATGGGTCCACCTGTATCGCTATTTAAATGATTTGTTTTTCCCCTTCCCTCCACAAATTATAACAACCTCAAATACAGTGAAAGCAGGGGTTATACCGTGGGGGAGGGACATACAAAGCAACAAAGAAATAATCTTATAAATGTGTTAGAAACAACCACATGAATGAAAAAACCATTTGAATATATATCTTAGGGTTCATTTCCCTAACATCAACTTATCTGACCTTTTTGGCTTGACTCAGACATATACTAGATATTGCAAATAAGGGAAACCATGGGACCTCTGTTTCTTTGGACCTGGCTTACTTCACTTAATAGAATTTTTTCCAAGCCTTTCCATTTCCTAACAAATGGAGCAATGTCATTCTTTCTGATGGAGGCATAGAATTCCATTGTGTATATATACCACATTTTCTTGATCCATTCATCTACTGAGGGGCATCTGGATTGGTTCCATATCTTACCTATGGCAAATAAAGCTGCAATAAACATCGTCATGCTGGTAACTTTAGTGTGGTCTTGTTTGTGATCATTTGGGTAAATGCCCAAAAGTGGGATTGCTGGGTCATAGGGAAGCTCTATGTGGAGTCTTTTGAGGAACCTGTATACTGTTTCCAAAGTGGCTGAACAAGTTTACACTCCTACCAACAATGCAGTAAGGTTCCCTTCTGTCCACATTCCCTCCAACATCTGTTGTTATTAGAGTTCTTGGCTATAGCCATTCTAACTGGGGTGAGGTGGTGTCTCAATGTTGTCTTGATTTGCATTTCTTTTATGGCTAGAAAGGTTGATCATTTCTTCACGTGTCTATTGGTCCTCCTTCTTTCCTCTTCAGAGAAGTTTCTCTTTAAGTCTTTAACCCACTTATATGTGTTGTTGGGGGATTTAATTTTTTGAGTTCCAGGTATATTTTAGATATGAGACCCTTATCTATTTATTGTATGGCTTGTGAAGATCTTCTCCCAATCCATGGGCTTTCTATTGATCTTGCTAGCTATGTCCTTTGCCATGCAGAAGCTCTGCAATTTCATGCAATCCCATTTGTCCAATCTTTCTTTGATTCAAACATAAGATCTTGAGCTAGGCTCCACCACACGTCTCCAGACCTATTGTTTGTTTTTATAGCATTTTGCACTTTTGTAGTGGTCTTGCCTACCTCCATCTCCTAAGTAGTTGGCATTACAAGGGTATACCACCACCACATATGGATTAATATTTCTTTAGATAAAGAGAAAAACACGCATTGGGCATGGTGGAATATACCTGTAATATAAACACCCAGAGGAAGCCAAGGCAAGAAAATCACAAGTGTAGGCCAGAATAAAGAATCATGAGTTGACAGATGGCCTGGGCTACTTAGTGAGTTGTGCCAAACATGCCTTGGCTACATAGTAAGACCTCTTTCTTTTCTTAATATATATTTTTTATTGTAAAGATACTGTACAGAGGGGTTTCAGTTACATGAACAAGGTAATGAGTCCATTTCCTATGGAGCATTGTTGCACCCTCCTTTATTTTTCCCCTACCATGCCTTTCCCCAACTGCTCCCTCCCCTCTCCCATACCACCCCTCTGAAAAGTTGTAAAGTTCATTGTAACTGTTTGTTGAAACTGTAAGGTTTCAACATATGGAGTAAGACCTCATTTCAAAAGAAAGAAAAACAACATAGCTGTAATTTGAAGATTAACTTTTTGCTTGTCTCTCCACAAAATACTGTGAAGACTTTGGAGAGTTGTCTTGGCAGAGACAAGAGATGAAGGAAAGGTTTTCATTTTCTTCAGGACTACAAGCAGGAGTAAACACAGAGCTCATACCATGTCCAAGATACAAGGTAGTTTATAGAGGAATCTCATAAACTACTGCTGTAAAAATCAATTTTGAATCAACACGGAGTGTCCCTACAATTTTAGGAACACTGGACTACAAAGACTTAATATAAAAAATAAATTTAAAATTTGTGAAAAGGTATCGCAAAGACATGAAAAACTTACTTCTTCCATCACTACCTTCTACTATCAGTTCTATTTCATAAAGACAGGGTATACTGATGTAACAGTTTTCAGAAAAACAAAGCCTCACAATAAAAGGCAGTCTATCCAGGATAAGATAGATAAACAGGTAGCTGTTAATCCATATCCTGTTCCACTGTCCTTTATAGCAGTGGCCTAAGACATCTGGTCATACATTATGGTGCATGTGTCCAGTTACCAGCAATGGTAACTGAATTACTGCTCTACATCTAGGCTCAGGAGTCAGAGTAACATATTTTATCTTCGAAGTCTTTTGTGACACAAATCGGCAAATCTCTGCAAAACCACCTATGTAAAATATTTTCTTGTTGGAGTGAAGAGTACCAAACCCATTTTTTAAAAAGAGATAAAGGGAGAAGACAGGAAGATAGTGGAAGTGGAGCTGGTGACTGACTGAGCTCTCTCCAAGAAACCAGAGTTTTCGGGTCCCAGTGAAAAGTCTAGATCTAGAAAGTCACACCAAGTGAGCCATACTTGTACAGAGATTTTTGGCCAGAAATGAAAAATAACAGTCAGCATGCTTAAGAAGACAGATTTGAGCACACGGCCTCAGCCACAGCTACAGCCAAAAAGAGCAGGGACAAGGGCAACATAAACAAAGTGTGCATGGCTTTTCACTCACCTCCAGCACTAACGGGATGACTAAGAGCAGAAAATCACATCCTGCTGGCCTCAGACAGATACAAATCACAGAGGCAGATCGAAACATCAAGAGAAAGTATAAGCACTCCACAAAAGACATACTCACTCCTTCTCACAGAAAAGTTTCTGGAAAGTAGCCCTCACCTGCACCCAAGAAGAATGCCATCTTCGATAGTGGCATCGAACCTGCCAGAGCAGCTAGCAGCTAACTTGGGCTAGAGAAGCAGCAACACTGGTGCCATTCTTCAACAAGACAAAGGAACCTGACCACTGAGAGTCAGTTCCACCCAGGGAAAGGAAGCTCCTCCCAGGAGGGGCAGCAATCCCTGGGGGAGACACAGCAAGACTCAAGACACTCTTCTACAGAAAACAAAGAGAAGCAGCACAAACTCTAAACTTGTAAGGCCTAACTTTTTCTTCCTACTCAAATAAACTTCTTTGAGAATTCAACCAAGCTACTAGGTTCACTAGGTTAAAGGAAAATTGACTACCACGAGGAAATCAAAGGCGCCATCGAGAGTGGACAGTGAAAATCGGGGAGACACAAGATCCCCCTCCAAAAGTGAAGAATTTCTGTTTTTCATTTCCCCCCTCCTCCTCAACCTCCTTCCTTTTTACCTTCATTGCTGCTCTGTTTAGTCCTAAATATACAACCTCCGGTACTTACTAGGCTTCCTTCTTAATTGTGTGCATACTTAAATTCAGACTAAAATTTTGATTACTCACTTTTCTCTGAGTATTTTTAATCTCAGAATAATTTTTATAGCAAGAGCAAAAGTTAGGTTCCATTCTGAGGAGAACCATTACTTAGTTTGTATTCCTCACAATACATGCCTTCACAGTTCTTTTTTCTAAAATAAACCCACCAAGAAGGTTATATGACTTTATTGATTGCTAATATCCTGAGATTTTTTTGTGTGTTTTTTGTTGTAGTTGTGGAGTGCTGGAGGAAAAAAAGATTGCACTGCTGCTTCTTAGTTTTTTTTTTTTTTCAGTAGGGCTATTTTCTATTATAAATTAGCCACCTTGCTTTTATGATGTTCTTGATGGTTCTTTATACTTAAAAGTAGAACTATTTTGTGCATATGTGTGCATCTGAATACTTTTAATTAAGATCAGAGATTAGTATCTTTTATTTATTCACTGAATGTAATATACAGGTAATATGTTAAGACATAGATCATAATTAGCGGAAGCTTTAATAAATACTGGAAGTTTTAAAGAGGAGAGGAAGTAATATGGCAGCCAAACAGGACAAACTTGCTCCAGCTCTCTCTAACCACACAGAAAATTGGGTTCCTAACATGGACCTCTACCCAAATGATCAACAACAACAAATATATAAACA